GTTTTGCAGGCTTTGAGCACAAGATCACAGTCCAGGCCTCTCCAACCTTGGACAAGCGGAAAGGATCCGATGGGACCAGCCCCCCGGCAAGCCCCAGCATCATCCCCCGGCTGAGGGCCATTCGCTGTGAGTATCTCCCAAGGCCCTGACCAGCCCATCAGTCAGCAGACTTCTCTGAACACATTTTTTGCACCAAGCGGGGGATCAGCGGGGAACAAGACAGGCAGGGTCCCCTCCCTCATTCTCATGGGGGAGAAACACAATGAACGCATCAGCAAGCAGGCAGGATCGCCTTTTTAGGGATGAGCACTATGAAGGAAACCAGGGGAGGGAATAAAAGAGAAGAGTTGCTGTTTTGTATTAGGAGGGCCTGTCTGAGGCGCTGGGTTTGAGCAGGGACCTAAGTGGTCAGAGCAGGAGAGACGTGCAGAGATCTGAGGAAGTGTCCCTGGCAGAGGGGACAGCAAAGACAAAGTCCCGGAGGTGGGAACGAGCCTGGCATGTGTGTCGGCCCAAAGGCCAACTGGGCTGGAGTAGAACGATCAGGGCGCAGAGCAATCGGTCAGGGGTTCAACGGGGCCAGATCACGCTGGGCCCTGAGAGCTGGGTGAAGAACCTGGATTCCATTTTAAAGGTGACAGGGAGCTCTGGCGGGCTGTGAGCAGGCAGCAATGTGAAAAGACACCCCTTTCCCTCTGGCTGCCGTGGGGATGTGGATGGTAAGAGGGCAGAGTAAGGGCAGGAGACAAGGGAGGTGATGGGGCTGACCCAGGGTAGGGTCTTGGAGGGTGAGATGGTCACAGTAGGGGCTGCCTGGCAGGGGTGTAGCTGCATGGGTTTGCTGATAAATTGGAGGATATAGGGCTGACTCCTGACTCTTGTTCTGCCCCATCATTCACCCCCAGCCTTGCCCCACACACTGCCTCCTGCACACCTCTGTTTGGGCACCAGCTTTGTGCCAGGCCTGGAGGTCATTGTCATGGGGGACACAAAGACAAATAACAGCCATGCATTGAGTCAGTACTGGTGTCAGGGGCCTTCAGAGTGTGGCAGGAACAGAGAAGACACAGCCTTCTGATTCTCCAGGGAACAAATTACTCCAGAGCTGGAGGCTTGAAGGGCATGCAGCCAACGTCAGGGAAGGGACGGAAAAGGCACAGAATTCCAGGTGAAGGAACAGCCTGTGCAAAGGCATGGAGGTGTGAAAGCACCCACCTGGGAACCTGTGGACATGGGGTCCAACCACGGCACTTACACCCTCTGCCTGCATATCCCGACTCTAGCTCTCCTCCCTCCCGCCCTGCACACCAGCCACACGGGCCTGCTGTCTGTGCATATTCCACGCCATCCAGTCTCAGGGCCTTGGCATTTGCTGTCCCCTCTGCCTGAAGTGCTCCCCTCCCTTGTACCCTCTTGACTCACTCACCACCTGGTCTTTGCCCAGTTTTCTCTTCCCACGGGAAGCCTTCCCCAGCCACCAGGGCCCTGTCCTGCCTCATGTTTCCTGCAGCACTTGCCTCCTGCACAGATGACTTCCCTGTGAGAGTCGTGCTGATCCTCTGAGGCTGGGATTCATCTGCGCTGTCCACTTCTGTCTTTTCAGCACCTGCCACAGGTCTTGGCACAGAACAGGTGCTCAGTAACATTTGAGAATGAGTGGATGGTTGAGGTTAGACTGTGAGGAGTGATGGAAATGAGGCTGAGGAAGTCAGCTGGGAATAACAGGAAGGGCCTTGAATGCTGACTGAGGAGCTGGGCTGTCGTCCTGGGCAGTGAGGAGCTGTGGAAGGATTTCGAGCAGAGAAGGGTCATGATTGGAGCTAGAATCCAAGACCCTTTGAGCCTCCAGGTGGAGGATGAATGCCAGGCGGGGAAAGTGGAGCTGGGAACCCAGCGGGTCAGACCCAGTAACCAAGTGGCTTTTCCCCGGCCAGTGACGCCTATGGATGGTGGCGGTGGTGGCGGCGGCGGCAGCAGCGGCAGTGGCAGTAGCACCTGGGGCCGCAGCGGGCCCCCAAAGAAGGAAGAACTGGTTGGAGGCAAGAAGAAAGGCCGGACCTGGGGGCCCAGCTCCACCCTGCAGAAGGAGCAGGCTGAAGGAGAAGAGAGGTATTGGTGGCTGGAGCCCACCCTGTGCCCTACCCCCAGGCCCATGGCCACCAGAAGGCCCACCATCCACCCCCAACTCTGTTTCCCTGCAGGCTGAAGGCCCTGGGGGAAGGAAGCAAACAGTGGTCATCCAGCGCCCCCAACCTGGGCAAGTCCCCCAAACACACCCCCATTGCCCCAGGCTTCGCCAGCCTCAATGAGATGGGTAAGAGGATGAGGGTGCCTTCAAAAGGGAAGGGAGAGGACATTCCCTGGCTGAAGGGGACACCGCCAAGACAAAGGGGCTACCATTCCCCAGGGTTTCGGGGAGGGAGGGGATTTCACTGGGCCAGAGTGTAGAAAGCATTCCCAGAAAGGGGACAGCCCGCCCCTGGGGTGTGGGCATCACTCCCAGGGGCAGGGGGCTTTAGGGGAAACAGAGTCGAAAGCCATGCTTAGAGGACTTGGGGGCTTGCTGTTTGAGGGATCGTGGGGGCAGTCCCTTGCCTCCAAGTCCCCAGGGACGCCTGGAGTCCAGTGCCGGCCCTCTCTGGTTGCAGAGGAGTTCGCGGAGGCAGAGGGAAACAGCAGCGGGCCCCACTCCCCCCACAGCACCCTGGCCTACCTCGAGGTGCCGCTGCCCACCCAGCCCTC